CTTAGCCATCATTCTAGGAAAGGAAACGAGGGAAACGAAAGGCTTGGATTATCGAGACAGCTGCGACTGTGTGTTCAGATGGGCAGGAAGGGGGGGGGAGATGGGAGGGGGGGCGTCAGGAGGCGGGAAACGGCCCCCCTGCCGGTGCCTGGATGCCGTGATGCTACTTTTCCAATAAAAGGTCTTTAATGAGACGAAATTTTGCAGCGTCTCCCAGCTGAATTGCAGAAGATTGGTGATTCTTAACGGGATAATGACTCGCCTGAGAAGAAGCAGGGAGAAATGTTGAGGGAAGCGTTTTCTTTTCCTCGCGTGTTCCTTTGCCATAATTGAACCGGAGTCGGCTGGAAGGAGGGGCTCATCCCTTCTTCTTCTTCTCCTCCTCCTCCTCCTCCTCGCCCTAGAAACACTTTGGAGCAGATGTTCCTTGATGACAGGATGCAGCCATAACTTTCTGGCACGCTCGCACTCACATAATAAGAGACGCACACACATAATAAGAAATGCACACACACACACATCCGGTGTCTCAAAACGTGGGGCTGAAAGACCAGGCTGGGTGATTTGAAAAGGAAAAAGGAAAAAAATACAGTCTTGAGGGCTCCTGGGTGCTCTCTGAGCTCCTTTTCTTGCAGGCGTTTCGTTACCCAGCTAGGTAACAACATCAGTGGTAGAAGGCAGTGGGGTTTGTAGAGTGGCGGAGAAGAAGAGAAGGTCCGTAGTGCTCTCTGAGCTTGCTTCAGTCCACCTTTTCCTTCTCCGCCACTCCACACACCCCACTCCCTTCCAGCACTGATGATGTTACCTAGTTATTTATTTATTTATTTATTACATGTATTTATATGCCGCCATTCTCCCGAAGGACTCAGGGCGGCGAACACAAGTTAAGAAACAAGTACAATAAAATCATAATTTAATCCAAATAATTAATTAGTAGTAAATAATAAAGCCCGGAATCAGTCTCAGCCTATTTGTTTGAAAAGCCAAGTCTTCAAGTCCCGACGGAAGGAGCGGAGATCAGGAGCCGTCCGGAGCTCGGTAGGTAATTCATTCCAGAGGGTGGGAGCACCGACAGAGAACGCCCTACCCCTGGGCACAGCAAGGCGACCTTGGCTCGCCGTCGGAACCCTGAGGAGAGCGGCCCTATGTGAGCGAACAGGACGGTGAGAGGCAGGCAGGAGAAGGTCCTGCAAATATCCCGGACCTAAGTCATGCAGGGCCTTATAGGTGAGGACTAGCACCTTGAAGGGGACCCGGAGAACCACTGGTAACCAGTGCAGCTCACGCAGGAGGGGTGCTATATGGGAGTAACGAGGGGCTCCCATAACAACCCGTGCGGCTGCATTCTGGATCAGCTGGAGTCTCCGGGTGCATCTCAGGGGCAGGCCCATGTAGAGGGAATTGCAGTAATCCAAGCGGGAAGTAACCAGGGCACGAGTGACTGTGCAAAGGTTATCACGGTCCAGGAAAGGGCGCAACTGGCGCACCAGGCGAACCTGTGCAAAGGCCCCCCTGGTCACGGCTGTTGGGTGATGAAACATTGGCAAGGAAACAAAGAAGCTCAGAAAGCACCAAGGACCCTACAGTCCACCTTTTCCTTCTCTGCCACTCCACACACCCCACTCCCTTCTAGCACTGATGATGTTACCTAGTTGGGTAATGAAACATCTGCAAGAAAACAAACAAGCTCGGAGAATACCAAAGACCCTTCATGTCAACCCTGAGCTACAAATATTCTCCTTAATTAGAATACAGGTCGTCCCCCCCCCCCCCCGTCCCCAGGAATTTCCTTGCCTTTGGTTTCTGGAACCAAACGATGCTATCGGGAAAGACAGATGGCTGCCCCAGAAGAGTTTATTCCCTGTTTGTTTTATATATGGGGCGCATATGCTCTTCGGTTGTCATAAACTCCTACCCGACACAGTAATCGGATTAGAAAGCAGATCTGTATAAAATATGCATCGTCGCAAAACCCCAGGCCCCGTGGATGACAAATCATAAAAAAACAGCATGGCTTCATTACGCGCCAGCTGTCTTGTCCCAGGCCAAGCACACACACACAAATACACAAAGGAGTGGTTTTGTTGTCTGTACTAAACGAGGCTTGTCCCAAAGGTGTTTTTTCAAGTGGCAACTGGATTTTCTTGGTTTTGTTTTCTTCCTTGAAGGCGGTTCGCTTCTCATCCAAGAAGTTTCTGATCGTTGCAGGAAATCAATGAACTTTTTCTTAAAACTGCCGGTGGGATGGATCCTTCTTCAGAGGCTCGTACGTGGCAGGGTCCTTCCAAAAACTGTTCACCTTGGCCTGGTAGTCATCTGCGTTCAGAATAGCAATAGCAATAGCACTTAGACTTATCGCCAGCCGCTCTCCCACCGTCCTGTGCACTCTCACAGAGTCGGCCTCCTCAGGGTGCCGTCGGCCAAACAATGTCGGCTGACGGCCCCCAGGAGGAGAGCGTTCTCTGTGGGAGCCCCGACCCTCTGGAATGGATTGCCCACCGAGCTCAGGACAGCCCCCGACCTTCTTTCCTTCCGTCGCGAGCTGAAGACGTGGCTCTTCCGTCAACTCAACTGATCCATTTGGGGATACATTGTCATAATTTTAAACTGTTTTTAATAGGGTTGCTGATTTTAATTTTATTTCACTGTGATTTGTATTGGAATTTGTCATTTTGAGTCCCTAGGGAGAAAGGTGGCATATAAATCGCATAAATAAATAAATAAATAAATAAATAAATAAATAAATAAATAAATAAATAAATAAATAAATAAATAATATACATACCGCTTCATAGTGCTTTTACAGCCCTCTCTAAATGGTTTACAGAGTCAGCCTCTTGTCCCCAACAATCTGGGTCCTCATTTTACCCACCTCGGAAGGATGGGAGGCTGAGTCAACCTTGAGCCGGTGAGATTTGAACTGCCACTGCATTTAGTGCTGCACTCTAACCACTGCGCCACCTCAACTCAGGTGCATCTTCCTTTAGCAGCTGGCAAGATGATGAAGTTCAGATCTCTTCCTACAGATGTCATTGCTCTCCTTTCTAGAATGGAATGGAATAAGGAATGGAATAGAATAGAAAATAGAAAGGAATAGATTAGAAAATGGAATGGAATGGAATGAATTAGAATAGAGTAGAGTAGGATAGGATAGGATAGGATAGGATAGGATAGGATAGGATAGGATAGGATAGGATAGAATAATAGAATAGAATAGAATAGAATAGAATAGAATAGAATAGAATAGAATAGAATAGAATAGAATAGAATATAGAACAATAGAATATAGCATAGCAGAGCTATGGAATTGGGATCATAGAAACACCCAGGAGCATAGAAGAGTTCAGAGGCAGATGCATAAATAAATGTCTTAAACGTATTTATTCATATGATAAATCATATTCACTATGTACAACAGAGATCAAGTCTCATGAGGAACAAACATGAAAAGAGAGAGAGGGAGAGAGCATGCGAGGTGGAAAAGGTTGGAGGGGGTTTTATACTCAGGGTAAGCCCCTCCTTTCCACATAGGAGTGGAGACACTCTCTGCCTCCACTGGTGTCTATATGACACATGTGCCAATGGCTTGCAAATACTTGACAATAGCATAGCATAGGAAAGGATAGGATAGAATAGGAATAGGAATAGGAATAGGAACAGGAATAGAAAACAGAGTTGGAAGGGACCTTGGAGGTCTTCTAGTCCAACCCCCTGCTTAGGCAGGAAACCCCTATACCATTTCAGACAAATGTCTCGAATTTTACAAATTATGAGCATGGAAGGAGGTGTTTGGGCACTGGAGAAGGGTGCAAATACCTTCATCCTTCATTGTTCTGCTTCTGGTCTGTTAGTTTATTGTTCCCGATGGCTGACTCGGTAGCTGTGACAAGATCTATCCTTGGTCGAAGCTTCTTGGAGGAGAAGCGAAATGTCTTCAAGGAATAACGAAGGAAGTTCGGTTTGCCTCTTGAAAAAAAGCACCTTTGGGACAACCATGACCTGGATGACAGAATCTCCATCGACAAATGAGGCTTGCAAACAAATGAACAAACAAACAAACAAACAAACAAACAAACAAACAAACAAACAAAAAGACCATTGATAGAGACAAATTTTCCTTGCAAAGTTCTTTGTGTCAAGTGTGCAACACTTAACAAGAGTCGCCAATCAGAGTGGCACTCTTGAGAGTTCATCTGGTGGTGCCTGAGGAACTGAATTTGTAGCAGATTTGTGAGCCAGTCCAGGTTCAGAGTCGGTGGCCAGGTTCAGGAGTCAAGGCACATTGTGTGGGTTGTGGTCCACGGACAGCTCGTGTTTTCTGCTCCGTTTTACTAAAAAACAGTCCTTGGTGTCGCTCGTTTAGTGGGGCGAAACGCCTTCCGTGCAAGAGTTGTGGTCCACGGACAGCTTATGTTCGCCGCTCTGTTTTACTAGAAACAGTCCTTGGTGTCGCTCGTTTAGTGGGGCGGAACCCTTCCGTGCAAGAGTTGTGGTCCACGGACAGCTTGTGTTCGCCGTTCTGTTTTACTAGAAACAGTCCTTGGTGTCGCTCGTTTAGTGGGGCGGGACGCCTTCCGTGCAAGAGTTGTGGTCCACGGACAGCTCGTGTTTTCTGCTCCGTTTTACTAAAAACAGTCCTTGGTGTCGCTCGTTTAGTGGGGCGGGACGCCTTCCGTGCAAGAGTTGTGGTCCACGGACACCTCGTATTCTCTGCTCCTTTTTACTAGAAACAGTCCTTGGTGTCGCTCGTTTAGTGGGGCGGAACCCCTTCCGTGCAAGAGTTGTGGTCCACGGACAGCTTGTGTTCGCCGTTCTGTTTTACTAGAAACAGTCCTTGGTGTCGCTCGTTTAGTGGGGCGGGACGCCTTCCGTGCAAGAGTTGTGGTCCACGGACAGCTTGTGTTCGCTGCTCCATTTAGTTTAGTGGGGCAGGATGCTGCTGTGCCAGGAGTTCGACAGAGTGCCTTTGTTCTCCTCATTTTCCTTGTCTTCTCTTCTAGGTGGGGTTGCTAACCAGGTCCCTAAAGAGAACAGCAGGAGCACCGCGGCGATGCAGGAGATGACCGGCACCAAGAGAACGTACGACATGATGGAAGGGAGGACGGCCAGACTGATATCCGGACGTGAACTTTCCTCTGCTAATATAGAAGGTGGGGTTTGATAAGCAGCTTGGAAGCAATCGTACAAGTAGTCCTTGACTTACGTCCACCATACACGGAGCCCAAAATTTCCACTGCTAAGCAAGGCCCTTGTTAACTGAGTTGCGCCCCTTATTACTACTTTTGTTCTGTCCCCAAACCCGACAAACCCTCTGTAGTTAAATCAATGATTCCTTTATTAGGAGCACCAGCAGCCCCAGCAAAAAGTTTCTCTCTCACCGCAAGCTAACAGGTCTGTCTGGCAGGGGAGATGAATAGTTGTATGCCACATCTATTCATCTCCGCCCCCTGCCTTTTATCCCCAGAGCTAGGGTGGGGCTTTGCTAGCAACGGTGGCTCTTCCATCCCAAGGACCGGCCCATAGATTTCCACTGCTCTCCTCTCCTCTGCCTTCTGCGCATCAGGCACTGGGCCCAGCTGTTCCTCCTCTTCCTCATCAGCCACCTCCAGACCTGGGGGCTGTTGACTCTCCATCTGAGGGCTGATGGACGGCCCAGGCTGTGCCTCTGTCTCTCTCTCTCTGTCTCTCTCTGCCAGCTCCATTCCCTCTTCCCCCTCGGAGCTCTCAGGTTACCTTGATGCTGACCCTGACTCCCACACCTCCCTCTCCTCCTCTTCTGAGTTGGCTGCTGGAGGGGCCAGCGGCCGACAGGCCACAACAACTTTTTTGCTAGAGTTTTTAAGCAAATCACCACAATTGTTAAGTAAACCGTACAGTCGTTAAGCGGACGTGACTTCCCCATCGACTTCGGTTGTCAGAAGCCAGCTGGGAAGGTTGCCCATCATGATCACATGACATGCAAAGGTCATAAATAAACACCAGCTGCCAAACGCCAAATTTTGGTCACATGACCACAGGATGTTGCAATGGTCGTAAATGTGAAAACTGGCAATAAATCATTTTTTTCAGTGCAGTTGTAGCTTTATTTTATTTATTTCATTTATTAGTCCAATTTATATGCCGCCCTTCTCCGTAGACTCAGGGCGGCTTACAATGCATTATAGCAATAGCCTGCATACTTTTTTGTATATACCTGCTTCTTAGGGCTTTCACCCCCCCAAGCGGTGTTGTTCTATACAAAGCTGGCTTATTGCCCCCACAATCCGGGTCCTCAATTTACCTACCTCGAAAGGATGGAAGGCTGAGTCAACCTTGAGCCTGGTGAGATTCGAACTTGCACTAATTGCAGGCAGCTGGCAGCTAAGTGCTAGTACTTAAGAGCACTTTAGTCCGCTGCACCACCGAGGCTCCTTTGGTCATTAAATGAATAGTTTTAAGTTGAGGAGTAGCTGTATTGATAAAAATATTTAATTATTTCTCAGATCATTGCCTCTGCTGGGCAGAAACAGGAAGAATGTAGAAATTTCCTTAGGAAATTTTCTTTTCCAGTTGAAACAAAGTCACTCCTGTCTTCTGTCATTCCTTCTTAACTTTTATTTTACTTTAAGTTCTTTGTTTTTTTTTTATTTTTTTACAAATATATCAATGCGTGAATAGTGTGGCACCTGAGTGTCATACATTCTAATACAAATAAGATTAATAACATTAGTCATACTTATTACTTTCAATCCAACTTATATATTTCTAATAGCGATACATATTTATATAAACTTGCAATATATCCTTATTCAATTATTCCATGTTTTCTCTTATTATTACCCTTATTTTATTATATTCTAATACAAATGACTAATAGCATTAGTCATAGTTATTACTTTCAATCCAATTTATATATTTCTAATAGTGATACATATTTATATAAAGTTGCAATATTTCATTATTCAATTATTCCATTTTTCTTTTACTCTTACCCTTATTTTATTATATAAAAGTGTATACACTAATAGTCCCCTTTTCTCTTAGAAGAGGAATTTTTAAAGAAGTTTCAAAATATGCACAGTTATTTGGGATGGTGGAATTTGGAGATCTTGTTGCAGCAAAAAGCAAACAAATCCCAGATCCTTTAATCTTTTTCTTCAGTCTGCTTTTCAGGGTATTCAAAACCTGAGATATTTCCATCTTGGTGAAAGAAAGATTTACCATACTTTTCAGAGTATAAGACACACTTTTTTCCCCCAAAAGAAGGTGGAAATGTTGGTGCGTCTTGTACACCAAATACAGCCATTTTTGGCTCCCCGAAACCCCGCCCCGCACATCTCATTCTTGCCAAAAACAAGCTTGTTTTTCACAAAAACGGGATGCGCAGAGAGTTTGGGAGGCCTGCAGAGTGCTCCTGGGGCCCGGGGAGGGCAAAAACCAGATGCACGGAGGCCAAAAACTTTTTTTCTTGTTTTTCTCTCCAAAATCTTGGTGCGTCTTATACTCCGGTGCGTCGTATAGTCCGAAAAATACGGTACATGCCTTGTTTTAATTTTATTTTCTTGGTGGTGGTGGTATCATTTTAGGTTTAATGGGCCGAGCCATCCCTCCCGAGAGACACAGTCCGCTCAACTTAAAGGAACCACATCACATCCGAGGCTCCATCACTCAAGGTACCGTAATCACGCAAGGAAGGTAGGAGAATTTTCTGGTTGTCCCATTGTCCACCCAAGCTTAGCGTTGGTTGATTCCGCTAAGTCAAGGAAGAAACGAGGTGGAAGGATGTCTCATTTTGCTTATCTAGAATCGGGGACTTCAAACTTAGCAACTTTAAGACTTGTGGACTTCAGCTCCCAGAGTTCTCCAGCTAGCATAAGTTCTAGTCCTGCCTTAGGCATGAAAGCAGGCTGGGTGGCCAATCACCAGGAGACAGTGAGTTCTAGTTCTGGCTGGGGAACTCTGGGAGTTGAAGTCCACAAGTCTTGAAGTTGCCAAGGTTGGACATCCCTGGTCTAAGGTAATGTTGTTGTTTTTCACTCTGGCTGGGGAATTCTGGGCATTGAAGTCCCCAAATCTTAAAAGCTGCCAAATTTGGAGGCCCCTAAAGCAATGATGGGGAACCTTTTCGGCACCAAGTACCCAAACCGGAACGCAAGTGCATGTACGTGTGCTGGAGTGTCAGAAACCCAAAGACCAACTAGCTGGTGTCCGCCAGCTGTTCTTTGAGTTTCCGGCACTTGCATGCGTGCTGGCCAGCTGGTCTTCACATGCACCAGAGCACCGGAAACAGCTGGCCGGCGCGTGCATGCCTGTTTTTTGGCCGGTTTTCGCCATTTTTTTGGCTGTTTTCAGGCTGTTTTTTGGGCCAAAAGTGGTCCACAAAATGCCCCGGAAAATGGCCTGTGTTTTGGCCGCTTTTCGGGCTGTTTTCCAGCATTCTAGTGCCCGCGAGGACCAGCTGGCCGGAGCGCTTGTGTGCGCCGGAAACCAGAAGAGCAGCTGGCAAAGGCGCGCATGCCCACAGAGAGGGCTTTGTGTGCCACCTCTGGCACGCATCAGTGATGGGTTGCTCCCAGTTTGCACCGGTTTGCAAGAACCGGTAGTAAAAATTTGTAGTAGTTCGGAGAACCGGTAATAACATTGGCTGGCCACGCCCCCGAACTGGTTCCCGGCCCGGTCGCCGCTCGCTTACCCCACCCACCTCATAAGAGGCTTTTTTTCCCCCCCTTCGGCCGAAAAAATGCTTTTAAGTAAATGCTTTTATAAGTAAAAAAAAAAAAAGCCTCTGATGATCGTGCGGCTCAGCTGGGATCGTCAGAGGCTTTTACAAGCATAATTTCTACAACCTCTTCGCCAAAGAGGTTGTAGGAAAAAAAAATGCCTTTAAAAGCCTCTGACGATCCCAGCTGAGTTGCCTGATTGTCAGAGGCTTTTAAGAGCATTTTTTTCTGCAACCTCTTAAGGTTGTAGAAAAAATGCTTTTAAAAGTTAAAAAAAAAAAAAAAAGTTGGGCACGCCGACCCAGTCACATTACACCCCCCCACCAAGCCACACCCACAAAATAAGCCACGCCCACAGAACTGGTAGTAAAAAAATTTAGAACCCACCCCTGGCACACATGCCATAAGATTCACGGTCCTAAAGGAAAGGAGAAGAAGATTTGACAGGCTCTGTCTGTGTGTTTTTCCTTTAGGAATTCCTAGATCCTATGTAGAATCTCCAGAGGACTATCCCCGAAGGGAAGCCAAGCAACTCAAGAGGGAAAACACACCACCAAGGGATTTAACGGATGCCTATAAGGTCAGGAGCCACGAGTCCCTCACTCCCTTGAAGCTGAAAGCGGTTCACGAAGGACTGGTCACCACGGTGAAGGAAGCCGGGCGATCGATTCATGAAATTCCGAAGGAGGATCTTCGTCGCACGCCCGATCTCTCTCTAATGGCCCGGCCCATTAAGGAAGGATCGATTACCCAGGTATCTCACATGGCTTGAAATAAATCAGATTTTTATAACAGTCCTAGGCGAGCATATTGTTGTGGCCCGCCAGGGGATCTGGCAGCAGGCCATTTTTCACACTTAATGACCGTTGCCGCATCCCCACTTAACAACAGTGGCGAGAAAAGTCGTAAAATGGGGCGAAACCCACACATTTCTCAGTGAGCAACACAGCTTTTTGGGCTCAGTTGTGGTCGTAGTTTGAGGACTACCTGTATTGTTGGGTGTCGAGGTGCTTTAAGCCAGGGGTCTCCAAACTTGGCAACTTTAAGACTTGGGGACTTCAATTCCCAAAATTCCGCAGCCAGCATGACTAGCTGTGGAATTCTGGGAGTTGAAGCCCACAAGTTTTAAATTTGCCAAGTTTGAAGACCCCTGCTTTAAGCTAATCAAAAATGTGTCGATAAGCGTTCTCCTTTCTTTTAATTTTTAAAAAAACACACCCGAGTTGGCCGTTCCTTGGTGAGCTGGTACCCCGATTGTCCAGCACAATTGATGGGGCCCGTTCCTCTGTTTCAATTAACCCCAGCCTGACCCACGCGAGATTTAACCACAAACGGCTTTCAAGTAGAGTAAACAGATGGTTTCTAACCTCTCCTTGGAGACCTGCCACGGTTAGTTTCCACGGGGCAAGAATTACGGCTTGGCGTTGCACCAAACAGGGCACCAGCTCTGTTCCAAAACTGCCAGATGTGATCTATCGCCTTTGATGGATTTGAATACAGCTCCAATGCTGGTCCGCTTCGGCCTTGAAGCTCTGGGTCTGTTTGCAAGCAAATGTTCCCCTAGCTCCAGATTTTCAAAACAATGCTTGGACCAGGTCCATTCTTGTAGGCTGGTAAAATTTGGGATGGGGGGGGGTTGTTTCCATAGCGACAGGATCGGGGTGATTCCCAGGCTTTGGGGTAACAGATGGTTGAATTCATGTAGCAGCTTGGGTGTTTTTGGATTCTGTATTAGAGAAGATATTAGATATAGGGACGCGGTGGCTCAGTTGGCTAAGACGCTGAGCTTGTCGATCGAAAGGTCGGCAGTTCAGTGGTTTGAATCCCGAGTGCCGCGTAACGGGGTGAGCTCCTGTGACTTGTCCCAGCTTCTGCCAACCTAGCAGTTCGAAAGCAGGTAAAAAATGCAAGTAGAAAAACAGGGACCACATTTGGTGGGAAGATAACAGCGTTCCGTGCGCCTTTGGTGTTGAGTCATGCCAGCCACATGACCACGGAGACGTCTTCGGACAGCGCTGGCTCTTCGGCTCTGAAACGGAGATGAGCATCGCCCCCTAGAGTCGGGAACGACTAGCACGTATGTGCGAGGGGAACCTTTACCTTTATTAGATAATACAGAAAATGTCTATACGAGGAGAGAGCAGCAACAAAATGGTTAGAGGGATGGAGACTAAAATATAAAAAGAACGGTTGCAGGAATTGGGTAAGTCTGGTCTAGTGAAAAGAAGGACCAGGGGAGACATGATAGCTGTGTTTCAATATCTCAGGGGCTGCCACAAAGAAGAGGGAGTCAAGCTGTTCTCCAAAGCCCCTGAGGGTAGAACAAGAAGCAATGGGTGGAAACTAATCAAGGAGAGATGCAACCTGGAACTAAGGAGAAATTTCCTGACAGTTAGAACAATTAATCAGCGGAACAACCTGCCTCCAGAAGTTGTGAATGCTCCAACACTGGAAGTTTTTAAGAAGAGACAACCATTTGTCTGATAGGGTGTAGGGTTTCCTGCCTAAGCAGGGGGTTGGACTAGAAGACCTCCAAGGTCCGTTCCAACTCTGCTATTCTATTCTAAATCCTAGGCCAAAGCAAAGCTGAGCTTTCTTAGGTGGGCTTGAACCCAGAAGGTGCTCCAAAATATGAGTTTTCCTTGTTGGGGAGAACCTCTCAGAAGCTGGAAGCTCCTGGACTATCACGTCCAAAAGAAATTCTTGTTTGATGGTATTCCATCCCATGCAAATGGACAGAGTGTGAATTAAAATAAACCAATGTGGCATCTTGACATTAGCACGGTCCTGTCCTTCATCTTCCAGCTTATTGATCCTTCTTCTTCTTTTTTTTTGTCTCTCGCTTCCAGGGTACTCCACTGAAATACGACACAAACACATCCACAAATACCAAAAAGCACGATGTCCGGTCTATTATCGGCAGCCCGGGCAGGAATTTTCATCCCATGCTCCCCATGGAGGCCATGCAGGACCCAAGGACGCTGGAAAGGGCTTATGAGGACAATTTGAAAAGCAGGCCCAGCCCAGTGACCAACTCTGGTGGCTCCATCACGAGGGGATCCCCCATGATTATGCCTGAGCCAGGGAAGCCTCGCCATAGCCCCCTCGCGTACGAGGACCACCAGACGGCCCACGGGGCAGCTTTTGGAGGTCACCTGCATCGAGGGTCCCCCATCTCCACAAGAGAAGCAGCCCCCAGGCAACTTGAAGGTCAGCCATCTTGCTTGTTCTCGGGGACCTTGTGTAGGAGCTCCATGCTACCTAGTTTGTTTGTTTTTTAATTTGATTTATATGCCGCCCTTCTCCGGAGACTCAGGGCGGCTTACAATGCGTTAAGCAATAGCCTTCATACTTTTTGTATATTTATACAAAGTCAGCTTATTGCCCCCACAAACTGGGTCCTCATTTCACCTACCTTAGAAAGGATGGAAGGCTGAGTCAACCTTGAGCCTGGGGAGATTTGAACCAGCAGAAATTGCAGGCAGCTGAATGTTAATAACAGGCGATTAGTCTGCTGCGCCACCAGGGCTCTTAGTTGTAGAACTCAAGGTGCTTCCTATAGAAAGACATCTGAGACCTTGATGTTCTTGGCCAATGTTTCAAGCGCAGCATGGCAATTTTCAGGAATCGTGGGCTTGTTTCTAATACCGCTTGGTTGGCTCCTTCTTCAAGGATGGGAATGTCTACTTCTTCTGAGGGGTCCCTGATGCTCTCTGAGCTTGGTTGCTTTTGTGCAGATGTCTGAGGAGATTCTCAGTCATCCAGGTCATGTGCTTTTTTTTCAGGAGGCAACTGGACTTTCTCGTTTTTTCTTTTGAAAACGTTTTACTTCTCATCCAAGAAGCTTCTTCCGCTCTGACTTGGATGGTGGGGAAGGGAAGGATTTACATTCCTTGCAGACAGCTGGTCCTTTGCATCCTTTTAGAGGGTCGTTGAGGCCACCTGGAGGTTTACCTGTGTCCTCAGGGTCACCTGAGTGGTGCACCTGGCTCCTGTAGTCTGCAATTTTTTCCTCTGGAAATCCATTCCTACTCCCACACCATTCCAAGGGTCTTCATCCCAAATTGTATAGCTAAAAGTCTTCTCAGTCATCCAGGTCATTTCTGGCAGAAGTTTCATGACCCAACTAGGGAACATCCTCCGCGCTATCAGTGCTCTGAGAAAACTGAACGGACCTCACAATTCAACCCTGAGCTACAAATCTCCTTTTTTTTTTTTTGCTTTAATTTATCTGCCGCCCTTCTCTGGAGACTCAGGGCGGCTTACAATGCGTTAAGCAATAGCATTCATACTTTTTGTATATTTATACAAAGTCAGCTTATTGCCCCCACAAACCGGGTCCTCAATTTACCTACCTTAGAAAGGATGGAAGGCTGAGTCAACCTTGAGCCTGGTGAGATTCGAACTTACAGTAATCAACTTACAGCTGATGTTAATAACAGTGCTTTAGTCCACTGTACTATAGGCTCTTTTTTGATGCTGTCCTCTCCTTCAACAGGAAGCATCACTGCTGGGAAACCCGTGTCTCAAGACAGGAAGGTCACAACCACCTCCAGAGACATCGCCAGCTCCAAATCTCCTCACACCCCACTTCCAGAACATCACCACCCGATGACTCCGTACGAGCATCTGCTCCGCGGGACAAGCGGCATGGATCTATACAGAGGCCACATTCCGCTGACCTTTGACCCCGCTGCCATTCCCCGAGGGATTCCCTTGGAAGCAGGTAGGAGAACTGAAAAGCCCATCAGCCCATTGGGCATTGGGTAGCTTAGTCCCGCTGCAGATTGAAACGGGTTTTTTAAGAATACGGACCTCAGTACGGTGACTTGGATTAGATCAGAGAGTTAGCAGATCTTGGAAGTGCATGAAGAGTTTAGCAGCAACCTGGGCAGAGGGTTCTGCAACGTGGTATGGTTGCACGTAGGCAAGGGTGTCAAACTCGGTTTCATTGAGGGCCGCATCGGGGTTGTGCTAGACCTCGGAGGGTGGGCGTGGCCAGTTCGATGTCACTTCCTTCCTTCCTTCCTTCCTTCCTTCCTTCCTTCCTTCCTTCCTTCCTTCCTTCCTTCCTACCTAGCTCTTCCTTCCTTCCTAACCCTTCCTTCCTTCCTTCCTAGCTCTTCCTTCTTTCCTTCCTTCCTTCTTTCCTTCCTTCCTTCCTTCCTAGCTCTTCCTTCCTTCCTAGCTCTTCCTTCTTTTTTTCCTTCTTTCCCTCCCTCCTTCCTAGCTCTTCCTCCCTCCCTCCCTCCCTTCCTTTTCTTCTTTTTACTTCCCTCTTCATTCTCCTTTCTTCTTCCTCCTCCTCTTTCCTTATTTTTCCTTCCTTGCTCTCTTCCCATCTTCCCTTCTTTTTCTTTCCCTTTCCTCTTTCCCTTCCTCCTTTCCCGTCCCTTCTTGGATGCTCAAATGAAAAAGGGGAAACATTTCTCCTTTGGTTTCGCTTTTAGCTTGTTTTGATAGTCCTCTGCCAGCAAAAACGGAGCTCCCTTTTTGCTGGCAGAGGCACGGCGGGCCAGTCCTTTCCAGGGCAGCCTCATGGGCCAGATCTAAGAACCCTGCAGGCCGGATGCGCACCCGCAGGCCTTGAGTTTGACACCCCTGATCTAGAGATTGGCCCTGGGAAAGAGCGGAGAAAGGATTTGGAAGACCTTAAGTTGAACTTTTTTTGTAGAGGGACGTGGTGGCTCAGTGACTAAGACGCTGAGCTTGTCGATCGAAAGGTCGGCAGTTCAGCGGTTTGAATCCCAAGTGCCGCGTAACGGGGTGAGCTCCCGTGACTTGTCCCAGCTTCTGCCAACCTAGCAGTTCGAAAGCACGTAAAAAATGCAAGTAGAAAAATAGGGACCACCTTTGGTGGGAAGGGAACAGTGTTCTGTGCGTCTTTGGCATTGAGTCATGCCGGCCACACGACCACGGAGACATCTTCAGACAGCGCTGGCTCTTCGGCTTTGAAACGGAGATGAGCACCGCCCCCTAGAGTCGGGAACGACTAGCACATATATGCGAGGGAAACCTTTACCTTTACCTTTTTAAGTGGAGCTTTATGAAAAGATGTAGAAGATAGGAGTTGACATGTTATACAAGGTTGGATGTAAACGTTCTAAAATCTGGAAATGGGCCTTCTCTTCTTCATCTCTGCTTGACTCAACAGCTGCCTATTATTTGCCGAGGCACCTTGCTCCTGGTCCTACGTACCCCCATCTCTACCCTCCCTACCTCATCCGTGGTTACCCGGACACCGCCGCCATGGAGAACAGACAGACCATCATCAACGACTACATCACCTCCCAACAGATGCACCACAACGCCGCCACGGCTACCACCATGGCTCAGAGAGTCGATCTGCTTCGCGGCTTGTCTCCACGAGAACCTTCCCTGGCTCTCAACTACGCAGCAGGTCTGGAATCCGTTGGGCGCCAGAGAGCCCAGGAGGGAGGGGAAGCTATGTAGGAGATTTGTTTGCCCAAACACCCATGGGATGGTGGATCACGCTGGGTCCCGAGACAAGACACAATGGTTTCAAAGAGCGACTTCCATCAATTGTGTTTGCTCCTGGTTGCGCTGTTACGGGAACAAACGTCAAGCAGAGAGGCTCTGCTGGCTGTAGAGGAGGGGTCCCCAAGCCCGTTTGGAACCGGCAGGCTCACACACCGCTCACATGGAACCATCCCTTCTTCCCCCCCTTCTAGTCCACAAAGCAAGGAAGGTTGGGGAACACTGGTGTAGAGGACAATGCTCGTGTTGTAGCCTGTCAGCCGCCAGCCCCTCCAGCAGCCAAATCAGAGGAGGAGGCGTGGGAGTCAGGGCCAGCATCGAGGCAACCTGAGAGCTCCCAGGGGGATATGGGAATGTGGCTATCAGAGAGAGAGACAGAGGCAGAGCCTGGGCTGTCCTTCAGCCCTCAGATGGAGAGTCAACAGCCCCCAGGTCTGGAGGTGGCTGATGAGGAAGAGGAGGAACAGCTGGGTCCAGTTCCTGATGCGCAGAAGGCAGAGGAGAGGAGAGCAGTGGAAATCTATGGGCCGGTCCTTGGGACGGAAGAGCCACCGCTGCTAGCGAAGCCCCACTCTATCTCTGGGGATAAAAGGCAGGGGGTGGAGATGAATAGATGTAGCAGACTATTATTCATCTCCCTGCCAGACAGACTTGTTAGCCTGCGGTGAGAAAGAGAGAGACTTTATGCCGGCGCTGGTGGTGCTCCTAATAAATGGAAGATTTGTTTAACGACAGAGGGTTTGTCGTGTTTGGTGTCAGAACAGCTGGCTTGATGGATATTGATGGTTTCTACCTTGCCCTGCAGTCTCAAGTTATTTTTAAAAGCAACACTTTTGTTCTTGGATGTAGGACAATTCACTTCGGCCAACACATCTCGGGACAATTCAATGCTGTAGTATTCATCGTTCAGTTACTTTCCTTCTTGGTGTCCACGCTTTCATCAAAATACTCTTGTATTTCCGGACTGACTTTATTTTATGATTATTGGCCACCCTTCTGTCAAAATTAAATTTAACTTTTACGTTTGTTGAATTGTCCCGTGTGTGAGTTGACCGGGGGCGAGTTCTGTCTTTCTTTGCCAGTTGTTCATTCTGAGCAAAACTATTGGTTTGTTTGGCCATAAGATTCTTCTTGGAGTGAGGCCCATGGCATGAGTTGACGCTTAAAGGGAAGGAATTAAAAAATGCAGAGAATTCAGACCAGACCAGGCTGATAAATTTAAGCCCCATTGACCTGAAAGAGGACACTGCCCACTTGGTTCTGGGCTCCCCCTTCCGTTCCTAACCACCTTCTCCTTTCCCAGCAGGGATAATTGACCTGTCTCAAGTACCACATCTCCCTGTGCTCGTGCCCCCCACCCCAGGCACCTCTGCAGCCTCCATGGATCGCATTACCTACATGCACAGCGCTGCCCAGCCTTTCAGCAGTCGACACAGTAGCTCGCCGCTCTCACCAGGTGAGTCAGGAGGGAACCTAGAACCCGGCGTAGGTGAGGTGCTTCCAAATATCCTTCTTTGGTAACCGCCTAGCAAGGAGATCCACCCTTGTGCACAGGTGAAAGGTTCCGGAGAGGGAGAGTGGAGGTAAACGAGAACGAGAGAATGCAAGCTGGTGGGAAGGAGGCTGTTTCTAGATTGGCTGAAGGAAGTAGATGGAGCTTTCTTGGAGAAGAAAAATAGAAGGAGGACCAGTGCGGTCCAAATCAGCTGAGAAGTATGGATTTGTAGGTTGCTTGACCCAGTTCTGAGAGGTGCAGAGTTAAGTGTAAACAAGTGCAAACAACAGACGTGTAAACAAAAACAAGGGAATGCAAGCTAAGAGGAAAGGAGGCTGTTCTAGATTGGGTGAAGGAAGTAGCTCAGAGGTGGTATTCAGCCGGTTCAGACCGGTTCACTCGAACCGGTAGCGGAAATTGTGGGTGGGCCCACTCCGACTGTATGCCATCCTATTTAGGCACCCTCGGGCCTCTGCCTCCCAGCAGTTACCTCCTTGCAGCAAGCAGCAAGAAGAAACAGCTCGTCTCAGCTTCAGCACAGCCTAATTAGCACAAGTTGATTGGATTGGCCTTCTGACTCTCAGATGTTTTGCGCAGCCTCTGCTGCTTGCTGCAAGGAGGTAAATTGCTGGGAGCAGATTTTTTTTTTTTCTTGTGCTAATCAAGCTATTCTGAAAACGAAAATGAAAGTAAAGCAGGCTGTTTGCTGCTTGCTGCAACGAGGCAGAGGCAGATTTCTTTTTCTTGTTTTCTTGTTTTCTTCACCAAAAACAAAAAAAATGCTTTTAAAAGTAAAAAAAAGGGGGGGGCATGCCCTCCCAGTCACATTACCCCACCACCACCAAGCATGCCCACAGAACCGGTAGTAACAAATTTTACATTTCACCACTGGTACCGATACAACTGTGAGGTTCTTGGTGCTCTCCGATGGTGGGTTATTTTTGTGGACATTTCATGACCCAACTAGGGAACATCATCAGTGCTTGAAGGGAGTGGGGTTTGTGAAGAGCAAGGAGGAAGATAAGGAAAAGGACTGTAGAGTCCTTAGTGCTCTCTGAGTTTGGAGGGCACCAAGGACCCTACAATTCTGAGGTTTTTTTATCAAAGATTTTTCAAGTCGAATGCTTTTTTTTTGCTGGAGTTTGACGGTGGGATGAAATAGCAAAGCAACTCTAGAGCACATTGGGAAACAAACAACAGCCTGTGCTTCACAGGTACCCCTGCACATTTAGCTAAGACGGGACCCCAGGTTTCCGAACGGGAGCAAGAACGGGACCGTGAAAAGGAACGCAAGAAATCAGTTGTGACCAGCACAGCCACGGTAGAGCACGCACCCATCTGGAGGCCGGGTGAGTTGAGGTTCACCATGTTGGAAGATGTTGTGGCCCGCCAGCTGAGTTGGCAGCAGTTTCAGACAGTGAGGAGGTTGGGGAGGAACATGGGCCAGTCCTGGAGTCTGGGAAGGCTCTGACGAGGGCTCTGCGTTGGAGGCAGAGAGGGGGCCAAGGCCGTCTGACAGTTATCCGCTGCCTTCGGAGTCAGATATCAGTTAGGTAGAGGAACAGCTGGAGCCTGTTCCCAGGGTGCGCGTGCACAGAGTTGCCAGACGAAGGGAACAGCTAAAGAACAAGGGTCGACTCGGGAGTAAGGCCACAGGTGGGCGATGAATGGCCCCTCCCAGGGGGAATAAAAGAGGAGCGAAAGGGGAGTGGAGTTTGCAGGAGACAATTAGTCCATTCCTGCATTCTTGCCAAGTATTGCGGGAGTCTGAAAAGATATCGGCCTGGCCACTCTCCAACCCTGATAAAGGTCGGTAATTGTGAATTATCTTGAAAGACTGTGGGAAAGGGAAGACTTTGCTGGAGAGGAATTCACTGTAAGTTAAATAAAGGGGGTTTATGAGGACGAGGACTCGGCGTCGTGTTGCTGGGGAAGCCTAGGTCACCTCCTCATTTTGCCTCCATTCCATCTTTTACGACAGGCACCGAGCACAGCAGCGGCCGAACCCCCGTACACTCTCACAAACACTCCCCGGTTTCCCCTCGCACCCAGGAGAACATTCAGCAACGTCCCAGTGTGCTGCATAACACCAACATGAAGATAATCTCTCCAGAAGGTCCCACTGCCTCCGTTTTGCGGTAGGTCAAATTGCGGAAAGGCGGAAGCGCGTTATTCTCGACATTCATCCAGGTTCCACAAAACGGAACCTACACAGTGCAGATTCTGGGCTGGTTGCTTGTCTATTATTATCATTTCTCGGTTTGCCACACCGTCGGTGTCAAGCGTGAGAAATCAGGAAATCCAGGCAGTTCAAATGAATGCAGGTAGTCCTCGCCTTACGACCAGAGTTGAGCCAAAAATCTCCGTTGCTAAGTGAGACATTTTTAAGTCGAGTTTTGGCCCATTTTTACAACCTTCCTTGGCACAGTTGTCAAGGGAATCAATCCCTGCCAGTGTTAAGTTAGTAACACCGTCGTTAAGTGAATCTGGCTTCCCCATTGAACTTAGCTTGTCAGAAGGTGGCCAAAGGGGATCACGTGACCCTGGGGACACGTCAACCATCATAAATATGAGTCAGTTGCCAAGCATCTGAATTTTGATCACGTGACCATGGGGAAGCTGCAACGGTCATAAGTGTGAAAAATGGTCATAAATCAGTTTTTTCCAGTGCCGTTGTAACTCTGAACAGTCACTAAATGAACTGTTGTAGGTCGAGGACTACCTGTGATAAAGGTTGATTGCAAGGTTAAGCTCTCTACAAGAATCTGATCTACTAACAGTCAAAGCAAATTGGCGGTAGAGAAGAGTCAACACAAATCAAGTGTGCTGAACTTAGATCTCTTGTGGGCACAAAAGGACTCGAGGCTGATGACGCATTTGACCTCTCCCTCGGGCTCAGCCTGGTCTCCTCCTACAGTCAGCCAGATGTTCAGACTGGATTTGGCAATTTTGTCCACCTAGCGAGTCCTACCCAAGGACCTGAGATAGGCAGACATTGTTGTTTGATTGGGCTTCAAGAGATCGTTGCAGGCTGTCAGCTGTTCCAGGTCAGGCTGCCATTTGCAATTGACTGATGGTTCTTTTATAGCTACACTCCTTTCCTTTCCTGCAATGATTCAGACACTTGGAAGGAAGGTGTCTTATAGGCAAAATCTTACATGCCAATTCTGGATGTTAGTATAGGGAGGGGAATCTGTTGGATATGAAGCCCCTTTTCTCTCATTCCCCTCTAGATGTTTTCTTCAATCGCAAACCCCAAATTATAATCCAGCCAAAAAAACCTGCCTGGCCCCAGATTCTCCATCGGTGCAAGTGCAGAAAATATATCCTACCTGTAGTTTAGTTTGCATCTTGCACTTGGAAGTTCAGAATAACAGAGCTGGGAGGGACTTGGGAGGTTTTCTAGTCCAACCCCCTGCTCAAGCAGAAAACTCTATTCTCCGTCATCCAGGTCATGGTTGTCCCAAAGATGCTTCTTTCAAGAGGCAACTGGACTTCCTTGTTTTTCTTGGAAGACGTTTCGCTTCTCATCCAAGAAGCTTCTTCAGCTCTGACAGGATGGTGGGGCATGGCAGGATTTATACTCCTTGCAGACGGCTGGTCATTTGCATGGGTTTGAGTACAATGCAGTGAGCCATGTGCAGATCTGTACCTTGGGGAAACAAAACAACCACTTCATAAACGCATGGCACAACATAGGAGAACAAACCTATCAGGATTGGATTCAGCGGTCCATCTGTCTTTAAAAGTCTTAACTCTTAAAAGTAAGAGCCTGGTGGTGCAGCAGACTAATAGCCTATTATTATCATTCAGCTGCCTGCAATTACTGCAGGTTCGAATCTCCCCAGGCTCAAAGTTGACTCAGCCTTCCATCCTTTCTAAGGTAGGTGAAATGAGGACCCAGTTTGTGGGGGCAATAAGCTGACTTTGTATAAATATACAAAAGGATGAAGGCTATTGCTTAGCGCATTGTAAGCCGCCCTGAGTCTCCGGAGAAGGGCGGCATATAAATCAGTTTAAAAAAAAAAAAAAAAAAAGTCAAAGGCCGCTCTTTTGAAGACAGCAAAGTCTACATTGTGGACAGAGAGGGCCGCTGGTTTGAAAGAGGGGTCAAAGAGGCCATCTGTGTCCAAATTGAACAGCTCTCTCTCAACAGAGTGGGAGGGGTAATCTGCAACACAGTCCTTTCAGCAGTTCCAAGAAGGCTCCACACCCATTTGCACTGCTCCGGTGACCCTGATGACACAGATAAACTCCAGGTGGTCTCAACAACCCTCTAAAAGGATGCAAATGACCAGCCATCTGCAAGGAGTATAAATCCTTCCATTCCCCACCATCCAGTCAGAGCTGAAGAAGCTTCTTGGAACGAGAAGCGAAACATCTTCAAAGAAAAACAAAAAAGTCCAGTTGCCTCTTGAAAAAAGCACCTTTGGGAAACACTATATCATTCCAGACAAATGGATGTCCAATCTCTTCTTAAAAACCTCCAGTGTTGGAGCACCCACAACTTCTGGATTTCTTCTAAGTGTGCCCTTGCAGAATTCTAGGGCTTGAATAACCCCCATAACTACATTCCTCTCGACGCCCCTTACAAAAGATGTGGGTATTTCCTTCTTCTCCCCTTGGAGATCTCTTAACGTGGTTTTCTGCTTTGCAGATCTTCTTCCTCCTCCTCTTCTTCTTCCTCTTCATCCATCGCCACCACGTCCCCAGCCTGCTCCTCCGGCTTCTGTCCGGCATCGGCGTTGCGCAGCTCCATAAGTGGCTTGGACAACTATGCCTCGGTGATGGAGTCGGCTCACGTGCAGAAGGAGGTCTCCTCCTCCAGGACCCAGGACATCAAAAGCGAATGGTCTCAGCCTGAGACCAATCACCTGTTCACCTCAAAGTTGTCCGCGGGGCCAGGCCTAGAACAGACACCTTCGCCCGTAAAAGCTACCGAGCCCAAGACTTTGTCCTCATCTGGGCCGGGGGCGAGCCACCCGTTTAGCAGAGGACAGGGGAAAATCCAGCCTTCGCATCACAGCCCCCTGGACCCATCACTGCACGCCGTTTCGGCCCCCGAGCAGCCGAGTAGAGAAAAGAGTAAACCCTTTTCAGTGCAGGAACAGGAGCTGCGAGTACTCGGTAAGACTACCATGACAGCGGCCAACTTCATTGATGTCATTATCACGCGCCAAATTTCTTGCAATAAGGGGAGGCCCGAAAGAAGTTCATTAAATAACAGCACCAATGGCGATGGTAAGACATTGGAGGGGGAATCGGGGGCGGCTCTCCGTGTCGGGGGGCCTTCCAACCCGCACCCGGAGACGTTACCAAAGATCCTTCCCTTTCCGCAATCATTTATTTCTTTTTTTTTCTCTTTTTTTTTTTATAAAAAGTGTTTTAATTTTCACATTTGTGGTGATGGCCCCTTTTATGTTTTCAGCATTGTCTGCCTAAAGGCTCCTGTTTTGCACCCTTCCTGTGCTCATGCTTCTTCTTCCTGCCCCACCACCCCCATTTTTCAACCTATTTTTTTCCCCCCCTCGGTTCCCATGCATTTGATTTCCTCCTGAGCATGTCGTTGTGTGCGGCAGGGCAGGCTAGACTTGGAAACGGGGAGGGGTCTCTCAAAAAGGGACGAGGGTCTAAACCAGGGCTGTCAAACTCCCGGCCCACGGGCCGGATGCGTCACGCTGACCACACCCACGCCCGATTTAGCAAAGGGGAAAAAACGTCACAGCGACGACGCGAGTTTGACACTCCTGGTCTAAACATTGAGAAGATGTCACGGATGCACCATCAAACCCTCCCACCCTCCCCTTAGCCAGGCCTGTCCAAAGAGGTGGGGGCTTGTGTTGCACGGTTGTGACATGTCATTTTCGCTATTTGTACACCCATCCACCTGCCTCCGTGCGACCTCTGCAAAATGTACGAAATACAGGAATGTGGGAGGTCACGAATTTTAGCACCGCGCTGGCTTCCGGAACAATTTCCTGTTCTGCTTTGTCCATGAATTGTTGTCAACTTGCTAAAGTCGGCCGAGATACAGGTAGTCCTCGACTTACGACCACAGTTGGGGGATCAGAATTTCCTCTGCTAAGCAAGGGAATTGCAAAGTGAGTAGTTGCTCAGCCATCTGGGAAGGTCACAAATGGGGATCCCATGACTCCAGGGACAGTGCAGCCGTCATAAATACATGCCGGATGCCAAACACCGAATTTTGATCACGTGATCGCGGGGATGCTGCAATGGTCGTAAGTGTGAAAAGCGGTCACACTGTAACTTTGAATGGTCGCTAAGCAAATAGTTGTAAGTCGAGGACTACCTGTACACAGATTGCAACATGGGGAAGGTCATCTGGTGTTGAGCCAGAAGATGTTGGGGGGGAGAGAATGAGGTTACTAAATGGTCCCTTGGTTTTGTTCCTCCAATCTCCGGATTCCCGGATTCGTTGAGACTACAGCTCCAAAAGATTGCAAACCAGGCGCTGGGAAAGGCTGTTCTAGAGCTAGAACCATGAGTTTGGTTGCAGCTTGAATGGAAGTCACCCTTGCAGAAATCTTGGCAACACTGCAGGTGTCAGCAACGTGGCTCAGCCAATGAGTTGCTCATCCAAAACAAAAGCTGTTCTAATTATATTGTTGAAGCTTTTGCGTTGGACAACTTAAGATGGGTGACTGTACCATTTCATACCACAATATATTCCAGAAGACCTCCAGTGGAAGCCACTGTGTGCTTTTCAACAGTGTGGCCCCCCCATCCAGGGCCTATGGGTCAGTTCAGCCTGGACCAAGGTCGGATGTGAAGGACCTCTTGAACATTCTCTAGTCATCTTCTCTACGTAGGGATCCAAGCAATGAGGTCTCAGCATGCCAGGTGTCAAAAGTGGCCTTTGAGGGTATCTCTCATCCAGGGGTGAAATGCTACCGGTTCGGACGGGTTCACGCGAACCGGTAGTAAAAGCTACCAGTTTGAGCGAACTGGTAGTAAAAAGAATGCTACCTGTTCGGACAAACTGGTATTTCCGACAATCAGCTGTGCCACGCGATTTATATTCTCTGGAAAGCAGGAAAGCGTGCATTTGGTGTGCACTGCGCATGTGTGTGCACAGCGAACCGGTAGCAGACTTTGGAGCATTTCACCATTGCTCTCATCATTTCGGTTCTCCTAGCACAGGGGTCAGCAACCTGCGGCTCTGGAGCCGCACGTGGCTCTTTCACCCCTCTGCTGCGGCTCCCTGTCACTCAAAATATGCATCACAACCACCAGTGAGCGGCACCCACTGGCACGCAATTTATTGAGCTTTTCAACCCCCGGTAGGCCAACCATGGATAAATCCAAGAAAAGAAAAGTTTCAGAAGAAAACAGAACATTTAATTCAACTACATATGCTAGTTTTGTGGCCACTTAGGAAATAGTCAGGCATCGGAAGGGTTTTGTGGCTCCCGGTGTTTTCTTTTCTGTGGGAAATGGGTCCAAATGGCTCTTGGAGTGTTTAAGTTTGCAGACCCCTGCCCTAGCAGCTGTTCACACAGCTGAAAAGGAGAGGCGTCCCACCAACCTTTAAGGCTCTCTTTTGTGCTCCTCAGTTTTCCATGGGAACTACAGTCCTGATGGCGTTGAAACCATAAGCCCCGTGAACTCCCCCTCTGCCATCCACGAGAAAGGGATGAAGCTGACTCAAGATAAGGAGACAGGTCAGGGTCTCCTCCACCCATAAACAGGGACCTTTCCCCGTTTGGTTACGGCGCATTTCATTCCGCCCGTTCACTTTTCTCACCTAGGTTCCCTCAAACCTTCGGCGACGGAGATCTCACACATGCAACAGCTCCACCAGATCAGTGAGGGTCACCACTCCCCGAGTCAGCCGTTACAGGGGCCCCCCACTGCCAAAGGAAATCAGCGCGTCGTCACCTTGGGCCAGCACATCAGTGTAAGTGGGATCGTTCAAATGCAAAGTCTAGCCGTAAGTTCATCTTTTTCAGTGTAACTTTGGTTGTTAAAGGAATGTGTTGCAAGACAAGGACGACCGCATGGTGTCTCAAAGGGATAGGGAACCCTCCAGGGGTGGGCTTCAAAAATTTTAGCAAGGGGTTCTCTGTCCGGTTGCTGGGTGGGCGTGGCCTAGTCGGCCTCCTGTACCACAGCGGGAAGGGGGGGGTGTTGCCCTCCCCGGGCTCCAGGGGCTTTCTTTGAGCCTCCGGGAGGGCGAAAATGGCCTCCCCATTTTGGCCTTCCCGAACTTCCGGTAGGCCCATTTTGTGCCCTCCCTGAACCTCCATGCACGCATCCACTTACCTGCATCCAAAATGGGCTGCGTGGGGATTCCTGGGAGGGGAGGGGTGGGCGGGGCGGGGCCAGCCAGGAGTGGGATTTGGGGGTTCTCTGAACTGCACAGAATCTTAGCTAGAGGTTCTCCCGAACCCCTGCGAACCCCCAACAGCCCCACCCCTGGAACTTTGAGCCTAAATTACTTAATCTGTTTCTTAATAGTTTTTAACTTCTATATGTATTTGTATTTATTATGGCTGTTCACCGCCCTGAGTCCTTCGGGAGTAGGGCGGTATACAAATATGAAAAATAAATCAATCAATAAATAAACCGTCTCAAGAAATGACCGCAAAGAAAAAAACGAAGGCTATCCCTTTCTTACAGGAAGTCATCACTCAAAACTACACGCGCCATCATCCCCAGCAACTCAATCCTCATATCCAGCCTCCCGTCTATTCCTACTCGGGGGCTGGTGGCCCTGTCCTGGATCTCCGACGAGCTCCTGCCGAATCTTATCTCCAGCACCAATCAATGGAACATGTTTCATCTTCTAGAATTTCCCCCGAAAATGAACCAGACCAAAGGTGAGGTCTTCTTCTGGTCATAAAAGTAGCTGCCAAAGGTGGAAGATGGGCTATAGGAACAGAAAGGGGTGCCCAAATCAAGATGGGTGGAGAAAACCAGGCAGGGATCATGTTCCCACTGCAGAGGGAGCATCCGGGAGCTCACATTCAGAGTGTCAAAACCAAAACTGAACACCAGTGGTGCAAACTTTGAAGGAGACACTTGACCATACCTGGCCTACATGTCTATGGAGATTCTCAGTCATCCAGGTCATGGTTGTCCCAAAGATGCTTTTTCAAGAGGCAACTGGACTTTCTGGTTTTTCTTTGAAGATGTTTCGCTTCTCATCCAAGAAGCTTCTTCAGCTCTGACTAGATGGTGGGGAATGGAAGGATTTATGCTCCTTGCAGACGGCTTGTCATTTGCATGGGTTTGATTACAATGCAGCGAGCCATGTACATTGGGGAAACAAAACAACCACTTCATAAACGCAGGGCACAACATAAAGGAACAAACCCATCAGGAGAAGATTCAGCAGTCGATCTGCATTTAAAAGACAAAGGCCACTCTTTTGAAGACAGCAAAGTCCGCATTTTGGACAGAGAGGACTGCTGGTTTGAAAGAGGGGTCAGAGACAGGGTTTTCCTTGAAGATGTTGTTTCCTTGAAGAAGCTTCTTCAGTTTCTTGGATGAGAAGCGAAATGTCTTCAAGGAAAAACAAAGCCAAGTTGCCTTTTGAAAGATACATCTTTGGGAAATACCTGGCCTACATTTTTTTTTTTTTGACTCTCTCACCTTCTCCTGAAAAGAAACCCTGTTTGTTGCAGTTCTCGTTTTTGGTCTTTCAACCTCCAGATCTTCATCCATCAAAAGGCCCTTCTCTTTCCTGTCTCACCCAATGGAAGAACCGACCGTTCTCAACCCAAAGCTTCCTGTTGCCCGAGTCTCACCTTCTCGCTCTTATCCTCCGCAGGTCCCCCGAGCAAATTAAAATTCCATCTTCGGACAACTGCATCGAGCCGATTTCTCCACCCGAGGGAAACGGAGAAGCCGAGCGTGTCCGAAACAGCGCCTACCCTATTCTGTACCGCGAGGCAGAGCAGCTGGAGCTGAGGTAAGGAGCCGGGTGGACAGTGTAGCAGGTAGTGATGGCGTGGCTTAGAGGGTCAGCTGCAAAAGACTCCCTGTCCTTTTCAATCCCGCAGAGGCTGCACCCGATCTCCCGGAAACAGTATCCAACCGCCAGCCTTCTTCAGCAAACTGACAGAGAGCAATTCCGCCATGGTGAAATCCAAGAAGCAGGAGATCATCAAGAAACTCAGCACGAGCAACCGGAACGAGGCGGAATACAGTGAGAATTTCTCTCAACTCTTTTTCCTGTCTGTCTGGCTGTCAACTATCTGTCTGTCTGTCATCTATCATCTATCTGTCCATCCATCCATATCTATCTATATCTGTCCATCTAATCTATCATCTATCATCCATCCATCATTTTTCTCTGTCTGTCATCCATCCATCTAATTATCCTATAATCCATCCATCATTTTCTCTATCCATCCATCCATCTATCTATCTATATCTATCTAATCTATCATCTACCATCCATCCATCATTTTTCTGCCTGTCATCCATCCATCCATCCTACTTTATCATCTATCGTCCGTCCATCATTTTTCTCTGTCCGTCATCTATCTATCTATCTATCTATCTATCTATCTATCATCTATCTATCTATCTATCTATCTATCTATCTATCTATCTATCTATCATCTATCTCGTATATTATGTATGTATATACAGCTCTCTGGCATATTTGAAAACAAAAATCATAATAAAATTAAAATATGCAGAAGAATTAATCGGGCCACCTGTTCAATCAATGAATTGTTCAGCCTGGGCCAATTTTCCTGAAAACCAGAAGTACATGAAGGTTTTTGGCCAAACTGTCATAAAACGTGTTCACATGACCATGGCATGCTGCAAATGTTCATAAAGTCAGATTGGTTGTTGACCGTCCAACCTGCAGTCACGTGGCCACAAGGGAGCCTCTGTCCATCGAACTTTTGAACCCGGTTGTAAGAATCTTTCTGGAGGTCCGTCGTGACTTTGAATGGTCCCTAAATGACCAGTCGTAAGTTCAAAACTCCCTGTAGTTCTTCTGTCCATGTGAAAGATTGACCAGGCTCTGGTCTTGATGTCAGCACTTCAAGCTCTAGTGCTGACATAAGAAGGAGAAGCGGAGGCGTCTGGAAAGGGACGTTTGACTTTTCACCTACTTATTTTCTCTGGGGATAATATCCCCTAGGAGATGGGATGGGAGGGGGGAAATTCCTTTGAGCTGAGCAGTAGATTAGGGGTAGAGTGACTTGGAAGTTGGCCAATGAGTGCAGAGGAGTGGGGAAAGGAAAAGGAGGGTTTTGGGGTCAGGAAGTCAGTGTTGGCTGCGATGAGTCAGAATTAGAATGTCGTGCTTAAATAAATGGAAGTTTTTTCATCAAAGACTTTGTTTGAAATGCAATTTGAGACGATCTCGAAACCTGACACTTGATATGAAGACAGCTCGTCTGACTTTTCTCAGCCTTAAATCTTGGTAACACCAAGATTTTTCCCCAAAAAACGACATTCTGAAATTGTAGGTAGGACTTCTTCAGATGTGGTATCCTCTAAGGTGTTTCTCTTTGGTCTTCCTTCCAGATGTTGGACAACCTGGGACAGAGATTTTTTACATGCCAGCAATGACAGGAACAGGTAACCACTAGAACTCTTCTGCACCCTGCCTTTTTTGCCTTTTCCCTACCTGGGATGGTGCCCTCTTTGGGGCCCTGAGGTTGGGGGTGACTTTTGCAAGCTGTCATTATTTACTGACCGCTGATGAATCTAGTGCAGCTGTCCTGCAACCGAAGATTGAAAAGCTTTTTATAACCTTTGGAAAAGGAGGCAGATGTCCACATAGGGTTGGACGGTTAAATTTCATTTATTTATTTATTTAAATATAAAAATCATCCCTTCCTTGTTCCTCAACCCTCTGTCTCTTAGACTCATTGAATTACATTTTATCATCATTTATCTTTCCCTGGGAGCGTTGGGCAAACAGCTGCCCCTTAGTGCCTTTCCTTTATGCACTGCCGCACCTTAACTGCATGGCTTCTGATGACTCACAATTGCAATACAAGCACCATCGGTGACACCGTAGATCCGGAGACAGACAGTACCACCCAGCTGAGCTGATGTCCTCTTTGCCTCGACCCCAGAATGGATGGATGGGGGGAAAGAATTGGGGAAAATGTGCATAGCTGGTGGACGGAACCGTTCCCTTGGAGCGCCCAGGAACTTGTCCTCAGATTTTATGAGGGCACTTTGTCAATGCAGGTGGCGTTGAAGTTGGGAGAAGACCAGTCCCTCCATTTTGAATGCTCCCAGTTAAGGGAGGTTGTAGCCATTCTTCTGTTGACCTCAAGCTAGTCTATGGTCAAATATAGATGGGTTAGAGTTTAAGAACATCGGTTTGGGCAGTTATACTAAAAAAAAACTTTGAAGTGGAGACATCTTGCTTTCACGAAAGGAACCCTCAAAATATTATTATTATTATTATTATTGCGTTTCCTTTCTGTCTTCATGTTACACTGAAATCATATTTGTAGTGGAGGCACTCAACCGACCAAGGGTGTCCACCAAAAGGTGAAGGACTTTGCCAATGGTATTGTCCACGTATCTCAAGGAACGTGCAGGAGTCCCACCAAACCCTTTGGAGTCCTCTCATGACCTCTGGCAGCCATTATTAATTTTTTTTACCATATTCAAGGCCCACATCCAAGATGTTCTGAGCCATAACGTCATGCTACTGCAAAAATGTTGCGTTTCCTTCCCAGAGCTTGCTATTGTCCCTTGTTCCGTAGAAGACGGTGAAGCAATGATTGCCACCAGTCTTTCAAGCGATGGTGTGCTTTGTTGAAATGCCACCAGTTCTGTCTTGGAACAGGGACATCAGAAAGACCTCAGAAGTCACTTCTGATGATGATGAAGATGTCCCATGGGTGGGGTGGATCTGGGTGAACCCTCCCCTCCATTCCCCCCCCCCCGGCCACAACCAATTGCCGCCAGAAGCCCCCCCCCCCCCAATCGCCGGAGGGGCCCCACGAGAGAGGAAGACCACAAACATGAGTAACATTTGAACCCACTTAAGCTCAGTGCCCCCTCACCAAGCCAAGATGAAGCCATGCCAGGGTTTGAATACAAGCCAGCTTCCTCCCCACCTCTTTGCCTTTAGCCTTGAGAAAGAAACCATGCAGTCGACGGGTGCGCCCAACGTGGGGCACTCCAGAAACAAACAAACAGTCCATGCCTCCTCCTGCCTTCTTCCCTGGGAACATCTCCAGAACGTAGGACCAGGCCAAGTGTGGTCTGCGTTGCAGGGTTTGGTGGGGAGAGAAGAAGAAGAACTAACACAACAGTGTTGTGTCATTTCGCCAGGATGTGCTGACAGTTTTGTTTCTCCCTTCCCTTCTCCCTTCCTTTGTTCTCTTCCCTCCCACCTCCCCCGATTTCTTCCTCGGTACCCCCCACCTTTTCTCCTTCCCATCCCAAACCCCTTTCTCCCTCTCTCCCTCCCTCCGTACCCCCAGGGTTAATCAGTTGTAGGAGCCAGGCGGTCCAAGAAAACCCCAGTTCCAACATGGGGCTGGAGGCCATTATCAGAAAGGCTCTCATGGGTAAATATGACCATCGGTGGGACGAGCCCGCTCCTCTCAGTACCAATGCTTTTAACCCTCTGAATGCCAGCCCAAGCTTGCCCGCTGTTCTGCCTGTAACCTCTGCTGAAGGACAGATTGACGAGATACATTCTTCCACGCCAGGTCGGCTCAGTTGCGTTGACGTGATTAATCCTCTGTCTCCCATCCTTCCTTCCTGTCTTCTCGTGTGTGTTGTGTGTTTCGTGTTGTTTTAATGCCGCCGATTAATTCCTCTCTGGGTTTGTTTGGTCTCCTTGTATGTGTGTATATGAGCGCTTGGCGAACATAACCCTTTCGCTGACTCCCCGTAAACCACTGACCGTTGGGCTGTCTCTCTCTTTTCGTCCTTGTTTTTTTTTTTTTTTCATTGACCGCTCCATGTCCACGTTGTCCCCATGACTTGGGGGTTAGAAATGTTGGGGTGTCAAAGAAGTACGCTGGGGTTCACATCCCCAGGCAACCCGGGGTAGGGGACAGGAATGCCACCCTCTTGGTGACGGAGGATAAAGGGTACAGATAGTCCTTGACTCAACCACTTGTTTAGGGACTGTTGGAAGTTACATTGCCACTGACAAAAGTGACTTAGGACCCTTTTTCACACTTAACGACCATTGCAGAGTCCCCCATGGTCACGTGATCAGAATTCGGACACTTGGCAACTGGCATGTACTTATGACGGTTGCACTGTCCCAGGGATCACGCAATCCCCTTTTGCGACCTTCTGACAAGCAAAAACCCGATTTGTTTAACAATCGCGTTGCTAACTGAACAAACTGCAGTGGTCCACTTAACCACCATGGCAAGAAAGGTCCTAAAATGGGGCAAAATTCACAACTCTCTCGCTTAGCAATAGGAAAGGGGGGGGGGTCAGTTGTGGTCGTAAGTCAAGGACTACATGTACTTCTCTTTCACTTCACAACAACTGCGAAAAAAACAGCCATAAAATCTAGTCCAATCACATGGGTCCCTCAATTTTACGACTTGCAAGGAAATGACGATCCTTTACGGTTGTAAGTCGAGGACTATCCATCGTGCAAAATGAAAGCACGGGTGATTCAAATCGAGGGAAAACTGCTGTGAAGATGAGGTTGAATAGAACATTTTGAGAGGACCTGGGTGCGCTCTGAGCTCGCTTCTTTTCTTGTAGACGTTTCATTACCCATCATCACTGCTAACACTGATGATGTTACCTAGTTTGGTATTGAAACGTCTATAAGAAAAGAACCAAGCTCAGAGAGCACCAAGGACCCTAAGTCCTCCTTCTCCACTACTCCACAAACCCCACTCCCTTCTAGCACTGATGCTGTTACCTAGTTTGGTATTGAAACGTCTATAAGAAAAGAACCAAGCTCAGAGAACACCAAGGACCCCTCATTTCCACCCTGAGCTACAAATATTCTCCTTGATTGGTAGAGAACATTATGGTGGCCTTCTTTAGCTTCAAGGCTAGGCTTTGGAGCGATGGCCATTTGGGTCCTTAATGAGGTCACGTTCTCGAAGACCAAAGAGGAATCTCTCTTCACCCCCTTTCCTTACAGCCTCCAATGAAGCAGGGGTGAAATGCTACCGGTTCGGGCAAACCGGTAGTTTAAAAAAAGCTACCGGTTCCTCTGAACCGGTATTTCCGACGATCAGCTGTGCTGCGCGGTTTAACTTTGTTTGAAAGCAGGAAATCCTGCTTTCTAGCGAAGCTAAATCGCGCGGCACAGCTGATCCCCCCCCCTCGCTCTTCTACTCATCTTCCCAGGCCTCCTTTTGGCTCGTACTGTGCATGCACGGCCAACGAACCGGTAGCAAACCGGTTCAGATTTCACCACTGCAACGAAGTCATACGTGAGGGTCATTAGTTAGGGCAGAAATGGTTCCAATAGATGTAAACAAATTCGGATCCTGGGCTCTATGCTGGTGTTGGCCAGATGGTTGCCAATATCCCCATGGATCAGGTGTGGATCTGGGCCCCCTGACCCATTGGAAGCAGAGTAAGAGACAAAAGTGGCCATGTCCTCACTCTTCCTCCCAGGCAGGGGTGAAATGCTACCAGTTCGGACTGGATCGCCCGTTCCAGTAGCGATGGAGGTGGGTGGTTCGGGAGAACCGGTAGCAAAAATCCCTGCCCCCCCCCCCATGCCCAGCTGAGCCACACAATCATCAGAGGCTTTTTTTTTTTTTTTACTTTTAAAAGCAATTTTTCTACAACCTCCGGCCAAAAAATGCTTTTAAAAGTTAAAAAAAAAAAGCCTCTGATGATCACGCGGCTCAGCTGGGATCTTCAAAGGCTTTTAAAAGAAAAAAAACCCTTTTTTTCTTTTAAATGCCTCTGACGATCCCAGCTGAGTTGCCTGATCAGCAGAGGCTTTTTTTAAAAAGCCTCTGCCGATCAGGCAACTCAGCTGGGATCGTCAGAGCCTTTTGAAAGCATTTTTTTTACAACCTCTTCCCTGAAAAGGTTGTAGAAAAAATGGTTTTTAAAAGTAAAAAAAAAAAAAAAAAGTGGCCACGCCCACCCAGTCACATTACCCCCCCCACACCAAGCCACGCCCACAGAACCGGTAGTAACAAACTTTAGATTTCACCACGGCTCCCAAGTGTACAGCAAAGAGACGTAATCTTCCCCAAATGTTCTTCCAGATAACTGTCACCCTGCTGCAAAGTTTTTTGGGGTTAAAGTTTTGGAAGAAAAAAAACAACCCCATTTTAGCGGTGAAATCTACTTACCTCCCTTACCGGTTTGTAAGCGCAATGCACAGGTCACGCAGAAGGTAAAAAAAACATTACTTCCTGGTTAAAACCAGGAAGTAATGACACCAGGGCGGCAATCGCTACCGGATCGCCGAACCACAGGGAAAAATCGCTACCGGATCGGGCGATCCGGTCCAAACCGGGAGCATTTCATCCCTGCCCCATTTTCATAAGTGCTTAGCCTTCAGATCTTACTTTGAGAACAGTTAATCTTTGGAGCAGAAAGGACGCCTTTCATTTTAGGAGGCAGCAACCGTTAGCCCCAAATTTTTCTAGGGTCTGATACACTAGAGCCCCCTCCCGTGATCCTTGGCAAACTTTGGAGTTAGTTACAGATAGTCCTCGACTTACAACCGTTCGCTTAGTGATTGTTTTTTCACAGTTACAACCTTGGCTGTACCTCAGGCGATCAAAATTCAGGCGCTTGGCAACTGGTTTCATATTTATGACCGTTGCGGTGTCCCAATCCCTGTGAATACCCTTTTTGCGACATTTCTACAAGCAAAAGTCCACGGGGAAAGCCAGATTCGCTTAACGACCGGAGGGGGGGGGGAACGACTAACTTTTATCAACAGCAGCGATTCACTCCACTTTCATTTCGTAAAAATGGGGCAAAACCCGCTTAGCAAACGTCTCGCTTGACAACAGAAACACTGGCCTCGCTTGTGGTCATAGGTCAAGGACTATCTGTCGCTGGGGTGAAATGGGGGGAGGCCTTTCTTTGTTTCTCAGCCCCTCCCTCCCCTCTCTCTTCCTGCTACCTGCTAAGCCTCATTGTTCTGTTGTGATCAAGTCCCTGGGAAGATGCGTTGGGAGGGCACCAAACTGCTTTTCACTGGTTTGACGTAGTAACGGGTGTCAAACTCGATTTCATTGAGGGCCGCTTCAGGGTTGTGTTTGACCTCGGGGGTGGGAGTGGCCAGCTCGATGTCACTTGTGTCGGGGGCTCCTTTGGTGGCCCGAGTTCTCTGCCAGCGAAAATGGGCTCCCTAGCTCTGTTTCGCGGCCCTCCTGAACTCCGTTTTCGCTGGCAGAGGCATCGCGGGTCGCAGTGTCCATGGCAGCCCCGCGGGCCAGATCTTGAGTTTGACACCTCTGATGTAATATGACTTTCTCCTGGGAGTTTGAAAAATGTTTTCCTTCTTTCCTCCCCACAGGAGGGGGGAAACCAAAGGCCGCCACCCGAGCAAACAGTCGGAAGGCCAGATCTCCAGCGCCAGGCCTGTCCTCCTCCTCCTCCACCGAGAGGCCACCATCCGTTTCGTCCGTTCACTCCGACGGGGACTGTAACAGGAGGACACCTCTAACCAACCGGGTTTGGGAGGACAGGCCTTCATCCACAGGTATTGGCACGTCCTTCTGCCCCAGTTTTGCCAATTCCCAGGAGTGTCAGGCGCAGAGAGTCGGGTTAGGTTGTGGCTTGATCAAGCCCGTACACAAGAATCTGACCAATTAAAGTTCAACACTAAATTGGCTGTAATAGCATAAATCGCCAATTCACATTATCGAAGGCTTTCTGTGCATCTAGAAATATCAAAGCCATTTGTTTTTCAGGATGTGTGCCTCATAATATTCCAAAGTGTCCAGAATTATCCTTATGTTATCTTTAATCTGTCTTTTTGGCAGAAACCCATTTTAGATAAACTATAAGCTATGAACATGGTGAAGGTGCACAAAAGTCTTGTAACCAAACGACAGACTGTTTGTTTGTAATTGAAGATGGTTTTATGTTTGTATGTATGTTTCTTTAAAAAACATTTAAACATTTTGCCCTGAAAACATTTCTATTCCAACAAGCTGGTCTGGCCTAACTCTCCCTTTTTAATTGGCTTTTAAACTGGCTTTTAAATTGGGTTTTTAAATCTCTTTAGATAAATTTGGATGTTTTTAATCTTTGAGCCTAAATTACTTAATCTGTTTCTTAATAGTTTTTAACTTCTATCTATATTTATTATGGCTGTTCACCGCCCTGAGTCTTTCGGGAGTAGGGCGGTATACAAATATAAAAATAAATAAATAAATAAATAAATAAATAAATAAATAAAAGTAAAAAACAAATTTCCAAAAAAAAAAGTTCAACACTAAATTGGCACTAGATAAGGATCAATGAGGAGACGTGGTGGCTCAGTGGCTAAAGACGCTGAGCTTGTCGATCGAAAGGTCGGCAGTTTTAGCGGTTCAAATCCCTAGTGCCACGTAACGGGGTGAGTGTGAACTCTGTGAGCACGAGGAAGTGTGAAAGGAGAGATGGGTTGGGCACACCTAAGTTACTTTCTTCCCAATTCTTGGACCAGGCTCCCTCAACGCCGTTCTTCCACCTTCCTTTCCGTCATCCTTGCAGGTTCAACGCCGTTTCCATACAACCCCTTGACGGTGAGACTTTCCACAGGAGTCGTGACCGGCCCGCCACCACCCACTGCCACCGTTCTGCAAGGCAACTCCGGTACCCAGAACCACGGCTGGGAAGAGGAGCCCAAACCTTTGCTGGTTTCACAGTATGAGACCCTCTCGGACAGTGAATGAGAAGAGAGAAGGCCATGATGGGAAGACCAATGGACAGATGGATGTGGTGGCTATCGAACGGGTCAGGGCTGGGGATTCTGGGAGTTGTCTCCTTCAGACCAGCTGCCGGAGCTGTTTAGGGATGGTTGGGGGAGTCTTTTGGTTTAATTTTTTTATGACATCTGGAAAGAGGGTATTAAAAAAAAACAAAAAACCACCACAACAAAAGAAAGCTAATAGGTTTAAAGCCTTAAAAACAACCAGGAAATGGAGCCCACCACCCATACCATCCGATTTTGGATGAGGGCTGATGGCCAAGAGGAGGGAGGGTCTTTGAGATGGCCAAGTCTACCCAACACTCAGGGGGTTTTTCATCTTCTGCGTCAACTTTGTCCTTCAGCCCAGCAGAGAGAAGAGAGGGTGAAGGAAGAGTGTTGGCTTGGTCAACTCTCGTTGAGGTTCACCTTCCGGTATTGGCCCAAGTACCTTCTTGAGATGGGCTACTGACCTAATACTTGAAACAAAGATCATCCAACCCCTTTTCCCGTATCTCCTCGTCTTAGCTTAATTGAGGGACCGCCGTGGTGGAGCTGAGTGTTGCTGGTCATCTAGAGGTGACCCAAGGCGACCCAATAAATTACAGTTCTCGTTTCTGGTCATTCAAAGCAGGGTGTTTCTCCTTGTTGTGTGCCCTTGTAGACACCGAAGTGTGCGGCTGAACTTGCAACACATTAGAAGCAGGTAGCCAGAACTTGGGGTGCAAGAGATGGACGTCAAGGAGAAAAACCGAAAGAGAGAAGGTTGTTTGGGACAACAGGGAGAAGAAATTGGGATATCCATCAGAGATCATTCCTCTAGTTAGGAGGTTGACTATGGATGGAGAACACAAGAGGCAGCTGTTGAAATGCACCAATCTCTCCAAACGCTGCTGTGGGTATTATCTATAGCAGTGTCTCTCCACCTTGGCTCCTTTTAAGATGGGTGGACTTCAACTCCCAGAATCCCCCTGGGCTGGGGGGGGATTCTGGGAATTGAAGTCCACACATCTTCCATCTGGCTGTGATGGAGAAACACTGATCTACAGGGTATATTTTTGTTACATTTTGGGGGTGGGGGGGGGGAAATGATGCCAGATTATTTCAGAGGGTTATTTTTTAATTCTCGGTTTTGGGGGGCGGGTGGGGGGGCCGAGGAAGGACTCTAAAACAGTGTTATATGCTGCTTTTTTTTGGTCGCTAACTCTTGTACAAAGAGGGTTTCTATGTGGCGTGTGAGATTTTTTGAGCTGTTTGTCCATTGTATGGAAATGTCAAGAGTTAACTATGACCCAGCAAAATGGTTCTGTAATTCAGTAGAATGTATTAACGTAGCTCTTTTATTAAAAAAAGAAATGTGAATATATATATATATATATATATATATATATATATATAGCTATATATATATATAAATATTAATGCAGACAAACACATACAGATACACATCCACACATATCATTCCCCGAGCCTTTTATCACCTGTTAGGGACAAAGCAAGGGAGATCACCATATTTTTCAAAAATTTGTCTCCGTTTTGAGAAGAAAAAGACAACTGAGAAGAATAAGAGAACCTTGCAGGAAAGTTGAAATAGGTAGTTTTCTGTGTGCTTATTCAATTGGGGCAGGGGTGTGGGGAGAGGCTCCCTTCCTCCCTCCCCCCCCCTTTTAACTCACACAAACCACCATGGCTATAATTCAAAGTGAATATTCTCATTTTGTCACCTGTTTTTTTTTCTTTCCTTTCCTTTCCTTGTCCTACCCGCGAACAGTGAAATCTCAACCTTGGTAACTTTTAAGCTGTGTGGACTTCAGCTCCCAGAATTCCCCAGCCAGCCATGTTGGAAGTCCATATTTCTTAAAGCAGATAAGATTGAGAAATTCTGCCCTTAGATGGATGGTTGTCGAGATTTTTCTCTTACTGAATTCTTGAGGCCAAGGATCCCAGATAGTCGAGTCTTTACAAGAGCCATGTTGGCATAGCTGGAAAAAAAGGACAATATCCCACTATTGGTTGTTCGCCCCGTTGTTCAAATTTGTTTCTACAGTGAAGTTTGCTTTCCCAACCATTTTTCTTCTAACTCATCCCCTTCGTTTTCTCCTATTGATGCAGCTGCTTGTTACGGTATATTAAACTCCGGCATGCATTATTAAATTTTTGCAAAACTGGCATATGTAAAAAAAAAAAAAAAAAAAAAGCTCAGAAAAAGATTCCGGGGATTAGGAGGGGGGAAAAAATTAAGAGGAATCTCTCTGTTTTCCTTGTGTTAAGACTTCTGAATTTCTGAGGCTGAATGATTCAGCCTAGTGGGGCTAAGGAATGTCCCCACTTCCCAAACCCCCAGTTAAGTCTTGACAATGAAGGACCTGCAGCCAAAGATGCCTTAGCACAGACCTGGAAGGATGTTCTGGTGATAGACAAGTTATGTGGGAAATAAATTCTAGAGTTCAAGCACAGTGCAGCCTCGGTTAAAAAGGAACCCCAAAACCTACAAGGCCAGATTTTGCTAAGTACTATCTCACAAGGAAGAAAGAAAATCAAGCTTACAAGAGTTGGCATTTAGAAGCTGCTCTAGATAGTTGAGGGGACGCGGTGGCTCAGTGGCTAAAGATGCTGATCGACGCTTGTCGATCAAAAGGTGGTCGGCAGTTCAGCGGTTCAAATCCCAAGGGCCGCGTAACGGGGTGAGCTCCCGTTCCTTGTCCCAGCTTCTGCCAACCTAGCAATTCGAAAGCATGTAAAAAAAATGCAAGTAGAAAAATAGGGACCACCATTGGTGGGAAGGTAACAGCGTTCCGTGCGCCTTTGACGTTGAGTCATGCCGGCCACATGACCACGGAGATGTCTTCGGACAGCGCTGGCTCTTCGGCTTTGAAACGGAGATGAGCACCACCCCCTAGAGTCGGGAACGACTAGCACATATATGCAAGGGGAACCTTTACCTTTATCTTAAGGATCATGGTGTTCTTCTCTCTCTTAAAAAGACTGTCCAGCTTCCTTCTTTGAAGAACCTCAATGTTCTTCCGGGACAGGAAATATTAAGCGTGCCCCATGTACATCCCACATACCCAGCTTTCCATGCAATAAAGATCATGCATCTGCCTTAAAACAGATTCAAATCCAGTCAGTGTCTGTCCACGTGTTAACCTTACAAGGGAGGCGATGTTCTTTGTTGGGTTCCCATGTTGTTTATTCTTGGCCCTCATCGATCACAAAGCTTACAAAGGACCACCGATAGGCAAGCAAACAAAACTAATGGTTAGAAGAGAAGGGACACCCACCCAGCCTGTCACAACTTTGGCTGTCTATCCGTTGCCTTCGTTTTGAAAACCGCCAATTAACCCGTCTTGCTTTTGAGCGGTCTTAGCCAGGAAGGGGGCCCAATCTATTTTAGATCAAAAGCGTAACCCACCTGCCACATGTGCCTAGAAGTTGTTGAGAAGAGTGATTGACAATGGAGGCTCCGCTATCCGTTTTGTTTTGGTTTTTTGCCTTTGGAATCTCAGTTTTGTAATCAGAAAAACTCCTTGGGGTCTTCAAACCAAATTTTGTCTCCGCTTCTCGTCTGTGCTGTGGGAAAGAAAAGCTCAAAATACCTTGATGATGGTTTCAAACTAGTTTGGTTCTTACCCAGAATGTACATTCCTTCAGTTCCCAATCTTTCATTCTTCAGTAGAAATTCCCCCCTCCCTTTGATTGATCAAAGCCAAATCTTTAACTCATCCTCAATCGTTGAAGCTCCTTAAGGAACGTCACGATAAACTGTTCTGACCTAGGCTTCACCAAACCACGAAACGGACTCCTTGTCCCGAAAAAAACACCCTCCTTTTTATTTGGCTAATGTAAATTCCTAGCATTCACATCCAGCAAAGTCCCGGCAGACAGTCTTTCAAGGGTGAATTGCAACCACAGTCCTTATCAGTCCTTGGATAGTTGCCAGACCGATACCTTCCAGGCACAACGCTGTACAATGAAACACTTGGCAAGGAGTCCCTCAGATAAGCAAATCTTCACACTAATAAACGAACTAATTGTCTCCTGCAAACACCACTCCCGTTTTGCTATTATTTATTCCCTGTGGGAGGGGCCATTCAGCGTCCCTTTGTGCCTTTACTCCTGAGTCACCCCCTGTTCTTTAATTGTTCCCTTCTCCTGACAGTTCTGCGCATGCGGACATCGGGAACAGGCTCCAGCTGTTCTTCTGCCCCACTTATCTCCGACTCCGAAGGTAGCTGCGGACGGTCCTGGCCCCCTCTCTGCCTCCAACGCAGAGCACTCATCAGAGCCTTCCCCAGACTCCAGGACTGGCCCATGTTCCTCCCCAACCTCCTCACTGTCTGAGTCTTCTGCTAGCTCCGCTGGCCGCTGGCAGGCCACAACATAAAGACCAGCAAACCTTGACTTTTGTTTCATGGAAACATCTCCTGATCTGAACTTTCCAAGTTGATTTGAGTCACCACGAGGTCAGTTCCAAGAAGTCAACCTTTCTCATTTTCTTGAGCACTGCCATATTTTTTGGCCCATACGAGGCTCTTCCCTGGAGGACCACATCCAGGGGAAGGAATGACCTTTGCCGTTGGCTCACAAATTCAGGAAACCCATGTGCCAAATGTTTTTTTTTTTTTTGAATCAGGCATAAATACATAAAAGTTGATGTCCTTCAACACAGCAAGAGTGGGGCACTCACAGTTCTTTGCTTTTAGCCATGCTGTTGTGACCCAGGCCCAAGTAGGTATTATCAGACGCAAAAAGTTTGAAAACAAACAGGCGTTATTAGAACAGCTGAGAATTAATTCATTCTCAGCGTAGCCCAAACTAAATTAAAGCAAATTCTTCAAAACACCGTTCCTCAGTTTATCACCAACCTTGGAATAATTAGGCAAACTGCCAAAGGCTTTTCTTGGCAAGAGTGCAGAAGCAGGAGACGCCGACAAGGGATAAGTGCAGCAAGACAAGAAACAAATCTATCAACATTGTTTTCCAACAAAGAGCCCAAGAGCCGTTGCTGGTCTTTTAAGCCTTATGGGAGGGGCCAATCATCTCTTGGCCCTACTCCCGAGTCGTCCTCTCTGCTTTAGCTGCTCTTGCCTTCTGGCAGCTCTTCTCATGCGTGCATTAGGAACAGGCTCCTCCTGTTCCTCTGCCTCTCTACTGTCAGGCTCTGGAGTCCACACATCACTCCCCAATGGTCCTGTCCCCATCTCTGCCTCCGACGCAGAGCTCTCATCCAGGCCTTCCCCAGCCTCCGGGCCCATGTTCTTCCTCAGCCTCCTCACTGTCTGACTCCGCAACACATACCTTGTCCAACTATTGTTGAAGATGTAGACTTTTCGAAGGTGCCAGGTTATCGGGCACTGCTTAGGTAGCTCCAGACCTACCTGAGGTTCATAGAAGATAAACGTGTGGTGCAGATGGATAGAAAATGTCCTAAGCTTCAACCTGTCTTTTCTTCCCAAAACTTCACACTGCTTTGCTTTACGCCTTCCTACAGCTTTGTAAATTTCCTATCCGTAGCATCGCCTCCTCCTCCTCCTCCAACCCCAACTTCTTAGTTCATCTTAGGAGGGCTAACTCTGCAGTTGTTCAACTGGGCTAAAATCACACTTTACTCCAGGGAGTCTCCGACCTGGCAACTTTATGACTTGTGGACTTCCAACTCCCAGAATTCCTCAGCCAGCATTTTGGGAGTTGGGAGTCTACCAAGCTGTAAAGTTGCCATGGGTTGGGAGACCTCCTGCCCTAGTCTGCCTTGGACCACGCACATACACAACAGACGCCACCAGAACACAACACAGAGACATCCCTTGCCAGAGTTTGCAAACAGTACATTCCAGGAAGGGATTTTATGATCCAAACAAAAAAACATCCCACCTTCCTTTTTGAAAGGTGATTTCTGCGTTGTATTTCTTTCTGTGTATTTCTGGGTGTACGACGTGTGTGTGCGTACACAGGCACATTCTCTGGATGCCTACTGTGTTTGTGTGTGTGCATGTAGCGTAGTAGAAATGCAGTGACCCACCTTTTTGAGTCCCTGAATCGGTGGCCTGGTACCCGGCTCAGGGGAAACTGAGTCATGGCAAATCGACTTTTTCTTTGGGGTTTGAAACTTTTCTTCTTCTTCTTCTTCTTCTTCTTCTTCTTCTTCTTCTTCTTCTT